CCCCCAGGCATGGGGGGGGGGGCGGCAGCGGGGTATCACTTACTTGATAAGGCTCGGACCACAAATGTATTATAGCTGCAACTGGTGAGGGTAAATAGAATGCCCAAAACCCATCCATGGTGAGCATACAGCAATGAATATGAAATAAGAAATGAGATAACAAAAAGCAATATCTAACAAAATCCAAAGAGAATTTGGCTATACATAAAGTCAAATATACTGACAAAATTAGAAGGGAAGAAGTTCACTATGAGCTTTACCATCCCACTACATTACATAAACGTCACACTAATGATAATGTGATATAATTTAAATCAACAGACTTTGTTGAATATATTTTATGGTAAATATACAGTATAAGGGTGTGCCATTATGTAAACATTGCATTGGGGAAAATTACATGAAAATATTTTTTTTTACATTTTTCTTTACTATTTAATGCCAACAAAAACCAAGGAAATAAAAATATACTGTATGTATCCAAGTATTCTACCAAATTAATGTCCTATCTGTCCTAAAAAAATGTATATGTTGAGGTTGAATACAAACGCTAAAAGTATAATGTGCGGAACCAAGATATAACAAAATAGAAAAAAAAACCAGGACTTAAGGGGATTTAGGGAGAAAAATGGCCTAAGACTCAAGTGGTTAAAGCAGTTTTAATCTCAGACAGACAATACAGACTGGCCTTCAGGGAGATTATCCAGCATTATAGCATAAAATATTAAAGTCAATAAAATGTTTTATAATCAGTGGTAAAAGCTGCAAAGGCAAATGCATGCTACACATCCATAAGGTTAGGTTTCTCGTGGTTTCAGGAATTGATTGGAAAAATTGAGTGGTCATGTTGAAGGCAAGGGCATGTACCTTATAGTGCCTGCTCTGTCATTTGTAATCTAGCCATACACAGCTAGATTTATTTTGTTTAGCAATGGGGGTTAAGGGGTTAAACAGCACGGATGGAGGAATCTCACCTGCTGGCAATTGTATTCAGACAGCCAGCACTCTTGGCTGTGTAAATACCCAAACAGTAACTGCATTTGATTCGATCCAGTCACTGTTCATCTGACAATTTTCCACCCAACTCCTTTCATTTTGTAATAGAAGTTTGTAGACCTTGTGGTGCCTACAGGGCCACCCAAAGCTCGATTGTTGGCTGATTTAGCAGGAATCATCTGAAATTTGAGCCATGTATGGCTAGTATTAGTCCACTTTCAGCTAACTACTTACAGGCTTTAAATATAGTAGATGTGCATAATGCTTACTTTCATTGTTATAACTGGTCCATGAATTATAGTTGGTCAACATTTCCATGATACTTAAATTCTATAACCGCATAACTTACCTTCTTATATAAGAAGTGTTCCAATTGTCAACGCTTCCTCTGGTGCGCATAATGTGACTGATCTTCTCCACGAGTAACTGATTATCTCTCTCTATCACAGCTAGTCTTTCCTGTTCCATCTGTGAGCAAAAATAAATTATGTTGAATAAACTGTAAATAGGTTGAACTGATTGACTGATTCTCAAGAAAATCAGATGTTTTTTCCTATTATTGCTTTTCTCCACCCCTCCATGAAGCCCAATTTGTGGGCATTCCTGTTGTGCAGCTCAGTTGTTACCACCCCCTTTGCTTTGAGTTGAGTCCCGTGTGTTCCACTGTGTAGATGAGACATGCTGATATGCCCCCTCCTGCAACACCTATCAAAACGGAACAAAGTGCTACATGCATTTTATCCCCTGTGGAGCAAGATAAAGAATATATTTGTATAGTGAGACCTCTTTAACTTGATGATGGGTTACAGAACTAGCACAGTCTCCTCTTTCTTCCAGTCGATTCCTCAGCAAGTTCTCAAGGTCTACAGCCATCGCTCATTGCAAAGTTTTATGGTGCAATAATAAATCAAGGGCTTATATACTGAACAAACTAAGGATTGAGCAGACTGACTCCAAAAATGTCCACTTGTTAACACATGCATGATGATATAATTATAACACAAACAATGAGCAACCTATTTATTAAAACAGTGTACCAAACAAATTAATTATCTGGCCTTAAAAACAATGCACAAACTATTTAATCAGGGAAATTAGTCATAAGAATTATTTTGGGGTAAACTGATGCATGTGGAAGGTACTAAAATTGGTCTGGTCATCTATGCCTCAATGGCATTTGGTTATAAAGGGGTTAAGTTGATGACTGGAAATCTGTCACCTGATCATAAATACTGTGCACTCTTTGCTTCTTGCCAAGGAACCACAAAGATACAGCAGTGATTTAATTTAGTGAGTGACAAGCTATGAAAATGTTAACAGTCTATTCTTCTTGAAATGCTAGGTAGCTACATAATGAGATATATAATATAGATACCATAACATACAGAAGATCCCCTGGGGAAAACTACAAAATAAAATAACATTCCGAGATAAAACATGACGTCTTTAAGATAACAACTTAAATTTTTTTATCTCGGGCCTCTGGCTTTTCATCTCAGAAATGACTGACATTTCATTTGAGTTCCTTGAATTTTTATCTCAGAATTCCATTGCAAGGGGCCTATTATAAGGCAGTGAAATGAATGATTTTCAGCATATCCATTCTTCTTTTCATTTTCTAACTATTTGCTTATTTGCAGAAAGCTATTAATGTTCCTAGCTATTTTACTTCATTTTACTATAAATATTATCATGGGGATATTCTTTTTCAATAAACAGTTGTGCCTATTAGTGAAAAAGTACGGTGAATAGGCTCTTCAACACGAAGCTTGTGTTATTACGTTTATTTATTAGTTTACTGAATTAATGTCAGAACATCTGATACGCACATTCTAGTTCTATGTGAGAGAGTTAATGATTAAACAAAAGCAAGGATATGAACTATAGGTGTGGAGTTTGTCACTTCAAGAACAAGTCAGTGTTGGTAACTCCTATATTTTTATCCTGGCAGGTTCCCTTGAAGAATGATGGCTTGAAAACTGGCCACAGCAGGTCGCCAAGAATCCTGAATCATTATAAGGAATCTTGGTCAGAATTCGGATATTCAAAACAAGAAAAAAACAAATTCTAAAATAGCATGCATTTATAAAGTGCTCATGCTCATCGACTACTATACTGGGGAACTAAAAGAAGCTGATGCACTATTACAGACTCTGACCACTGAATTTGAATGTTTCAGACACTATGAGGATTTCGATAAGACCGTGACAGATTTAAATGTACAGGTAGAATCCTACAATAGGATTCAAAACTTGAAAGGGACAGGAATGCATATGCAGGAGGTGTGGCATATAGGTGGGGACAGAGGAGGAACTGGAGTAGGAATCAGGCCCCCAATATGGGGGAGACATATAAAAGTAGGAGAACGGACGATGAGAGGGACACCTTCTCAGAAGGAACAGAATCCGGTCTTTCCTCCTCGGAGGAAACTGTAGCCCCTAATCAAAGGAGATATAATATGCGCTCACAGGGAAAAACTGGTAGAAACGCTGCCCCCTGGAAGGATTCCAAGACACAGAGTAAACAGACACACAATCCGGATAATACAGATACAGATACCAGGAACAAAGGGAGGCAACAACGCACTATTAGATTAGAGGAACCTTTTTTAGGGGAAATGGGACTCCCCACCCCCACTCCAAAGGAGGGAGTCCCATATATAGGGGGAAAAAAAGACAAAACATAGATCCCCATCCCCCCCCGTAGTCCTATTAAGTACAAAAAAAACAATTATGATCAATATATCTCCTCAAACGCCCCTAAATGTAGACAATCTCCAAGTTATCAATCTAAGCCCCTATACCTTCACGGAAGTGGAGTTGGGTCTCATCTCTAAGGGCCTAACCTTTTGTCCTGAGGCACCACCGGACAGATTTAACGTCATCAAGGATATTAATCTTTTTGCACGCAGGCTTTTATTACTTGTAAATGCACATAATGGACGTAGCGATGGAATTCGCTTCACTGCACTGGATAGGATTCACCAACATAAACGTGGAGGGGATTGGGACAAGTTCCTTCTACAGAGAGAGTGCAGATGGATCCACCAAACTGGGTCCTATGAGGCACCAGGTCTGAATGATATGGTCAATTTCAGCTGCTATCTGTGAAACATCCACTCTCCCCGTCCCCTTTCATCTCTGTCCTTTCAAACATGACTTTATTGATACCTCTGGAGTGGCCCTCCACTCAAACATTGTGCTTCCTTTACATGCATACAATTTAGTTGTATGTATGTTCCATGTATTTAGGTAACCACACAATTATAATTTAACTTGTTCTCATTCTAAGTAGGTTATTCTAAACTAATTATTTTCGGTATGATATATATGTGATGGCCGGATCTTTATAACTCATATTCTGAAACTTTGTAACCACATGTATATACATATAGATTTGAATGCTATGTAATTGTATACATGAATGTAAATATAATCATATTCACTTAGATACAATGTAGAAGGGGAAATATGATCTGCCTCTCCAATTGTATACATGCGTTGCAAATGCTTCTTCCAGTCTCGTACAAATGCAGCTGCATTCATCCCATTCAGTATTATCCAGTTATAAATGGGGACATGTGGGAGATCTGCTTCCCGTTTACAAACCCTCAGACAGACCCTCTGATATATCAGACCTGAGATATAGAGCACCCACGAACCAGATCTAGAGCTTATGTCTATAGTTTATAGTTATCATCTTTTATGCAAACGTGTACGAGACTGAAAGAATTTATTTAAATCTGGGGCTTACAACTATATAGGCAGGAGCCGACTTGGAGGATCCACAGCAGACCTCGCAGCAACTATACCAACATACAGGAAAATAAAGTTGCTGAAACCGGGGACCAACAGTCTGGGACAGCCATTGTGACCATTACCTCATGCATGCTTGAAGTTTCTTTTTTTGTTAGGAACTGTCTCACCACCTAAACCACATCAGAAGTGAGTAACTCCTTCTTTTTCTTTTTTTTTCTTTTTTTTCCCTTTTTTTTTTTCTTTTTTTTTCTCTTCTTTGATACTGAGTATTTGCTTGCCTAACACAGCGCTTGTGTCCAATATCAGTGACTCTTAGTGACCACCATTAACGGTCACTAGATTTTCATCTATATCAATCAACACTGGGCTATATCAGGGAGGACTTATTGTCATTTTAATTGATTTTAGATGTTCTTTGTCAGTAGGTGTATTTATATGTTTTTCTACTTTATTATTAATTCTCATTAAAATTTGCTACATTATCATTACCTGTTTGATTATTATAGACAGCTCCTATTTTGGGATTCCGTTTTTTTCGGGGAACCTTGCTTATTATAGATTGACGTTGGAACCCAGGAGTTTTTTGTCCACTTTATTGTTATTTAAGGCGCCTCTCCTTTCCCCATTTTGTTATTATGCATTTATAAAGTAACAATTCTTAACTGAAAGAAATCTCTATATTCTTTTTTAGTTGACAACCAGTTGTGTTTTCTTTAGCAAAGACCATTTAACACAGCACGTACCTGCATTTTTTTCATTTGGACATGATGGTTTAAGTATATCCATGGAGGCTTATTGTCAACTTCAGATCTGGCTGTAAAATAAATTACATTCGCTTTTGAAATCTGACATAAGCCAAGCAATCAGAAAGTCCAAAAGCAATATACATTTTCTAATAAAATATGCAAGATGTAAGCGCTTAACCTTCCTTTCAAGATAACAATCTAAAATGAAAATTTGGTTAAAATAGTGCTAATATTGAAAAGCATTAAAAATACATGGGTTGGATAACATATCACTGTGGTATGCCTAAGCTTCATACTTTTACTTTAGGGGAACATAGCCAATTCTTTCTAATGCCCAAGACAATTAGATAACTTCCTGGTTTACTATTTAAATATGTCATTAACCTCAAAGCACACTGACACTCTTAGCGAGCTCCATAGAGTTTCAGCTCAACCTAGGTTTTCATTGCTGTTTATTGCCCCACTGGGAAGATTCACTTGACTAGTCACAATTGTTCAAAAAGGAATTTGCTCTCACTTTGAAGAAATGTACTCTTACTTCCTGCTGAGGGAGCAGAAAGTGAGACAGTAAGTAAAGATTATAGGACAGAAGGTGGTAGGCAAAAGTACCCATTTGGACACAGGGGTGTTAACCTTGCACTTTGTTTTACATAGTAAAAATGGCAACCACTCGCAGCAGTTTATACATAGTAAAAGTAAGGTGCACCTAGGCAGGTCATTTAAAGAACAATATAATGCAAAAAAATACCCAACACACTTAACAGCAAGTCAATACAAAACAAAGTCTAAACTGTTTTAATAATTTGTGTTAAAACATAACGTTTTGCATACATTTGCAGCTAGATGAGTGTCAAATTCTCACATAAAAAAGCAGTGTCATTTGGAATTTTAGAGATCCCATACCTGTGAAAATGTCACGTCATGCTAATGTATGTCAAGGCAAACCTGACTTGATGTTATCTTAACGTTATACTAACAATTTATACTAACAGATTTTTTTGTGCATCACAATGCATGAGTATCTGCAAAAGCCCATGTAGAACAATAATTTTTCAAATTGGGCAAAAGTTGTGAGTGGGGTGCCTCAGGGATCAGTCTTGGGACCGATTTATCTTATTCATAAACGATGTAGAGATTGGTACAAATAGTTATATCTCGGTTTTTGCGGATAATACTAAACTGTGTAGGGCAGTAAATTCTCAATAAGACATAAACTCGCCTCAGCAGGACCTAGTAAAATCGAGGAGTGGGCTGCAAGATGGCAGATGCAATTTAATATCGAAAAATGTAAGGTTATACACATGGGAGCAAATTGTGAATTTACTAGCTAGGGGGTACACCACTGGGGAAGTCAAAGATAGAGGAGGAACTGGGGGTGCTCCTAGATCACAAATTTGGCAATAGCATGCAGTGCCAAGCAGCGGCCTGCAAAGCAAACAGGATATTATCCTGCATTAAAATAGGAATTTTGGCAAGGGGTAAAAACATAATGTTACCACTTTATAAATCACTGGTTCAGCCTCACCTTGAATATGCAGTTCAGTTTTGGTCACCAACTCTCAGGAAAGATGTTCTCGAATTTGAAAGAGTCCAGAGAAGGGCCACAGAATGAATAAAGGGGATGGAAGGCCTGAGCTATGAAGGTCGCCTCAAGAAATTAAATTTGTTCTCCTTAGAAAAGAGGCGCTTGACGGGGGACCTAATTGCAATTTTCAAAATCATAAATGGGGACAACAATATTCGGAATAGAATGTTTACACCAAGAACTATACTAATGACACGAGGACACAGCAAGAGATTAGAAGAGAGGAGGTTTAATCTGATTTCGCAGGGTTTTTTTCACTGTGCGAGTAGTTAAAATGTGGAATTCCCTTCCACAGTCCGTAGTATCTGCTGATAGCATTGATAAACTCAAGAAACATTTAGATGAGTTTCTTGAGTACTTAAATATACTGGGATATGGGAACTACTAGCGCCAAGCATATACATGCATACATACATACTTATACATAGGTTGAACTAGACGGACCTGTGTCTTTATGCAACCTTACCTACTATGTTACTATGTTACACTGCAGCATTGCAAGCAGTGGCGTATCATGGGTTGTCAGTGCCTGGGGTAAGGCAAGTATTGCGCCCCCTACCATGTAGACTGTTAGAACTTCCTAATTATCGGTGCATAACTACCTATACCCCAACAGAGGATTACAAATCCCAGCAATACTTTATACAATGCAGAATGGCAACTGGCTAGAGAGAACTACAAATCCCGCAATACATTATACAACAATGCAGAATAGTATATTCATTTGTTACATACTCTGTGCTTCCGCTCTGCTCTGGGGTGCCAGCCTGATGTCTCAGGTGGAAGGTCTCAGCAGAGGTAGATGCAGAAGGTTTCAGCAGGGGCAGATGCAGAAGGTCTCAGGCGGGGCAGATGGAGATGGGCAGATCGTACGTTTTTTTAATTACTTTACAACCATCGCAAGACTAAGGTCTTGCGATGGTTGTAAAGTGTATGGCCACCTTAAAGGAGAACTATGGGGTTAAGGCTTTTCCCCATAGCTCTCCTTAGGGTAACGGGAGGACACAAACTAGCGTCCTCCCGTCACCCTAGGCTCAGTATACTGCGAGCTGTAAAAATGTTTTTAGAGATGCATTTCAAAATGTGAAATCTTTTTATTTAAAGGAACACTTAAAAATAACACTATTCAAACTATAAAAAAGCAGGACTTTGTATGTCAACTCCATTACTTTAAAGACAAGGAGGAACTCATGCAAAAGCTCAGATATGCTCTTTCAATAGACTCCGATTGGGTCACTTTAATAGGGATGGGCTCAATGTTCGAGTCGAACAACAGTTCGAGTCGAACGTTGCTAGTTCGCGTGTTCGGCGAACACACAAACTATCAGGGCGTTTGGCGGGCTGTTCGCCTGCCAAGGTATCGGTGCATCCCTAGTTCACAGATGCGGAAATGGCAAACATCTTGATGGTTGAGTCTTTGACTGAAGGATTACTATGTTCCACCACTAACTCTATTGATTAGCTATGCAGGGGATTATATATCCACTCCTCAGTATGGGGATTATTTTTTTACTTTTATTCTTATCTTTTAAGATTGATATTAGGCATGGTAGTTACAGAATTTTTCTTACTATTGACCTAGCTGCACAGCCTCTAAACCAGAAACGTTCCTTCCCTGGGGATTTCAAAGCTTTTGGCATGGATGTCAGCGCAATCAGTGCAGTTTGTTTTGTTGCAATGTACTGGGCACTTTGGTTTGCTTCATGTGATGTAACTTTTATCGCTGGTAAAGTTGTACCCAATACTTTTGTTGCCTTTATATGTCTCTTTTCTTCTTGCCCCTTTTCCTGCCTTTTCTATGTTCCTTTTCTATTCCAAACCCCACACCTGCACAAGTGTGTATGAAGAGAGATATTCTTGTAACCCTGTGGTGACTACTATCCTTGTCTTTTATAATGTAGGGGGGCTTAATATTCAAGGTAAGCAGCACCAAATATTCAGGGAACTAACGTCTTTCTTGTATTATTTCTTTCTCCAGAAGACTCCTTTACCTCACTCTACAACTGTCATGAATAATTCATGGTACTAAGGTGCCAGTTCTGGCTTGACAAAGAGGTCTTGAACCTCGAAATGCGTAGCCAAATTGCCCAATTGACATTCCCATCACCCAGCGAGATAGACCGCACTGGTTTCCAGCCCCGTGCCTGTCTTCAAAAACGATCTGTCACAACGACTGCGGACAGTTTTCAAACCGCTACAGAGCGGCACTTTCGCTCCCGTTCAGCCGTCGGGTCTCAGCCTGGCCAGCTGACCTCCCACGGTATTGGACGGCACGAACACCCTCAGTGCAGAGCCTGTGTACAAACAAGGCTACAGGACGGCAAATTCTTGCGCTCCAGCCACAGGAGCCCCCTAGCTGTCACCACTATCTCTCACCACACCGATCGCCCCAAGACACTGCTGAGCGATCCATACAGCCTTTCTTCTGATTTGCAAGACCTCATCTTGTCCACCTAAACAGTGAGTTTTCAGCCCAGTATTGTTTTTAAAAGTTTTCAAAGTTGTCTACTCCTAGAATGAGATCCTAATAGGTTGGACTTGATGGACTAATGTCTTTATTCAACCTCAAATACTATGTAACTATGTAAAACGGTCTTTAAGTCAAGTTTCTATCCAATTACAGACTGAATACTCTATACCTACAGACCTTAACTTATATATTATCCACCTGTGGGGAACTGTGTCAAATGCTTTTGCAAAGTCCAAATATACTATATCTACAGTCATTCCACTGTCCAATTTATTACTCACTTCCTCATAAAGTAGATTTGTTTGACAACTTCTGTCTTGTGAATCCATACTGACCATTGCTTATAATGGTATTTTCAAGCAAAAACATGTGAATGTGATCCTTTATCAAAAGTATCTTAAAAGTATCTTCCAAACTATGGAAGTTAGTATTACAGGTCTGTAATTACTTGGAAAATACTTTGATCCTTTGGCCACATTGGCCTTGTGCCAAACCATTGGTACCAAGCCAGTCATTAAAGAGTCTCTAAAAATTAGGATGCAAGGGTGTAAGTTATTCCGTTCAGGTGCTTTGTTCACCTTAGTTTTTCTCTTACACTATTTCGCAACCTGTCGTTCATTTTCCATTTTTGCAATCTTTATTTTCTTTTTACATATTTTATTATATTCTTTGTAACTTTCAAATGATGACAGTGTTCCTTCATTCATATATCTTTTAAATGTTCTTTTCTTATTCTTTATGGTTTTCTAAACATTGGATGTAGGCCACATCGGTTTTACTCAGTGTTAATTTAGTCGACTAATACATTTTTAGTTATAGTTTTAGTCAATAACATTTTCTTCAACTGACTAAAACTAGACTAAAATGTTAGGAAGGAAAGAATTGGGAAGAGATTCAGTCAGAATGGATCTCTTTGGACTCAAATCTATTTCTGTATTGCTTGTACAAACCTTAATACCATAAGTAATAACAGGTTAAGAGATGTTTTTACTCCAGGGGTATATAATGAGATT